GGCCGCCCCCCCGCTTGGCCCCCCTCCCTTCCGTGACCAAGGGAAGGAGGGGAGGAAAGAAGCAGCTCCAGCATCGCCCCGTGCCCACCGGCTCCGTGCCGCCCGTGGGAACGTCCTACCTATAGGTGCGCTTGAGCCCGGGCACGGAGGCGATGCAGAGGATCCTGGCGGAGCAGACGGCGATGCACGCTTCCACCGTCGGCTCCTTCCGGATGCTGAGCAGGCAAACCTGCCCCACGTAACCATCGCTGTTGCAAACCCAAACCTCGTGGGAGCTCTCCGGGTTTCCGTGGCTCGGAGAAGCGCAAGAAAACTGCCGAGGAGGAAAAGGTGGGATGAGGCAGGGTCGTTCGGGAAGGACGCAAGAGCTCTCGGCATCCGGCGGCAAGGCCACCAGCGCTCCCGTGGGATGCTCAGACCCAACTGCCAAGTACCTGCATCCCGCTCCGTGTCTTCATGATGGGGATGGCCTTGAGGAATTCCGGGTCCAGGCAGTTTTTACTGGAAGCTGGGAAAATCAAATCAGAGGATGAAGAAGCGATGGAGGGAGAGGGGTCTACTGAAGTCCACCACCGCGTCCACCTCCCCAGGCCTTGTTGTTACCCAGCTTCTTCTTGGCGTCCTCGAAGGCTTGCTCAAAGCCGATCCGGGCATCGGGGTTGGGGAACTCAAAGATGAAGGACTCAGTGCCGTCGGATTTGGTGGTGCTGAGCTCCACCTTGTTGGGGGGGAAGGCCATGCTGAAGGACAGGGATTGCTTCTCCGCCAGCTCCCGGTGGATGGCGGCCATCAGGTCCTTGATCACATCATCCAGGCTCTGGGGATGGGGACAATGCTTCAGCTCCTGGGCACGAGTCATCACCAGCCATGGGCATGATGATGTCCCGTTCATCCCTGAGCATCCTTCAGAGGCTTCCCCAGCCTCACTGTGGTTTTGGGGCTGGTGGCATCTGGACCCTTTGAGGACACTCATAGCCACCAGCCCTTCCACAGGTTCTCCCTCCCACTGAGGACATCCCAGTCTGTCCCATGGGGAAGGTGTCCAGCCAGGAGACAGCACCAGAGCCACCATGTGATGTTGCCCCCATCCATCCATCCATCCATCCCTCACCACCCTCTGGAGGCCACCCCAATATCAATGTAGTTTTAGAGTTGGTGGTATCTAGGCCCTTTGAGGCCACTCATGACCACCAGCCCTTCCACAGGCTCTCCCTCCCACTGAGGATATCCTGGGTGGTCCCACAGAGCATCTGTCCAACCAGGGGACAGCACTAGGGCCATCATCCCCATACCTGGTGGGGGAAGCTGAGGGTCTCCGACAGCTTGCTGACTTGCCCCAACGTGCTGAGGTCTTCATCCAGGCGACAGATGCTTTTCTGGATGCTTTCCCGGTTGGTGGCTTGCGAGGCACCTGCGTGGGGACATGCATGCGGCGTTAACCCCTTCCTCCCCGGCGCCACACAGGAGAACCTTCTCTCCGCACCAGCTGGAGACAAACGCTGGCTTTTGGGGTGGGAAACTCCAGCAGGGAGTGACGGACCTTTGACGATGTCCACGTCCTCCAGCGGCAGCTTCCAGAGCAGTTTGTACTTGCTGGCCGTGTCGATCACGCTGGCTGCCGTGTACCTGCGAGGTCAGGGGAGATGGCTGAGCTGCACCCATGTCCCCAGCACCCTAAAGCCAGGTCAACCCTGAGGACATGGCTTAGTCCTGGTGGGTGACCCCCAGGCCTGGTGGTACTCACAGGCTCATGGAGCTGCGGCGGAGGGAGCCCGACTTGCGCTTCAGCGTGGTGCACACCAGCAGGTCCGTGAAGAGGAAGAAGGAGCGGTCCTTCTTCCCACCCACCGCCTTCTGCAGAGCAGTGGGAGACACCAAGGGGTTAACGCCCGACCATCATGCTGCTGGTGCTGGGGGTGGTCCCTGCCTCAGTTTCCCCATGCAGGGAGGATGCAGGGAGGGACGGGTCCCACGCCAACATCTGCATGGGGACTGGCTGTGTGCTCACAAGGATCAAAGGGGACATGGGTGCGATGGCCATGTGGGCAAAGCCACAGGGCACCACTCACGAGGAACTACCAGGGCCATGCGAATGCCAAGCATGGGCTCACCAGGGCCTCCACGGTCCCCACCTCCAGCCTCCCTGTCCACCCCTGGCCTGGGGCTGCTGTGGGCTCTCCTGGCCGCTCCTGAACCCATCTTAGCTTTCCACAGGCACTTGGGGAATTTTATATTGTCTCCATCCCTCTGTCATCCATCCATACATCCATCTATCTATCCATCTATCCATCCATTCATCTTCCATCCATCCATCCATCCATCCATCTTCCATTCATCTTCCATCCATCCATCTATCTATCCATCTATCCATCCATTCATCTCCATCTTCCATCCATCCATCCATCCATCCATCCATCCATCCATCCATCCATCCATCCATCCATCCATCCATCCATCCATCCATCCATCCATCCATCCATCCATCCATCCATCCATCCATCCATCCATCCATCCATCCATCCATCCATCCATCCATCCATCCATCCATCCATCCATCCATCCATCCATCCACCTGTCCATCCATCCATCCTTCCATCCAACTGTCCATCCTTCCATCCATCCATCCACGGCCTCCCATGGGCACACAGCCACCCCATGACCCTCAGTCACAGTCTCCCACTGCCCTGTCCAGCGCATAGTGCCACAGCCCTGCTGGGGACAAAGGACAAGGGACCATTCCACTCTTACCACTTCCACCACCATCTCCTGACGCAGGAACCTGCGGAGCGGGGCCTGGAGCTGTTGGGACAAGGAAGCTTGTGAGCAGGAAACTCTGGGGAGGACCCTCACAGGCTTTGTCCCTGCAGCCCCCACACCCCACCAGCTCAGATCTGGCACCTTCGCCACTTCCCAAACAACCCCCAAGGAGCACACCGAGGCCAAGTGATGATGGGGAAAGAAGGACCCGGAGGAGAAAACAAGTGGCCCAGTCTGGGGTGACACAGAACGAGCCAAAATGGTTGCATTTTGGGGAGAAGACTAACCCCATGTAAGACCCCCATACATACGTCCTCCATCCCTTCGATGTGGGACTCGATCTCCTGCACGATCCGGGCGTTCCTCTCCACCTCCTCCGCGCTCTTCATGCCCTTGTTGATCCTCTCGGCCACTTGCTTGATGTTGCGCTGGGCATCGATGAGGAAGGGGTGGTCAGGGTGGTCTTCTGGTGTGTGCTTCAGGAGGTCCTACCACAAAGACACAGCCGGGATGTCACCGTGGGCAAAATCTGGGCACTGGAGATGCCATGACACCCCCCAAGCTAAGTCCCCACTGTGCCACTGGCTGCTGGGGGTAGAAACCAACCCCAGGCAGGAAAGGTTTTGCAAAGAAACGAAGCCTTGAGCTTTGGCCACCACCAGCCTGGTCTTTGGCCATCTCTGAAGAGACCACCAGCTCCTGAGAGCACGTCATCACCTTCCATGGACACCTGAAATTTATCTTTGGAAGTGTTCAAAGTGAGGTTGGATGGGGTTTTGAGCAACCCGGTGTAGTGGAAGGTGTCCCTGCCCATGGCAGGGGGGTTGGTCTAGATGATCTTTGAAGGTCCCTTCCAACTCAAACCATTTTGTGATTCTATGAAAGCGCATTCCCACCAGCCTCAGTGCCAGGGAAAGTGACCGTGGTACAGGGAAACTGAGGCACAGAAGGGGTAGCAGTGTGACTGGTCCCAAAAAGGCACTGCTATGTCCAACCTTCCAGCAGAAAGGTAGAGTGGAAAGGGACCGCACATCCATAGGGACATGCCAGAGGGGACAGCGGGGTGACAGGGTGCCCACCCCCAGGAGGGCAGAGCCACACACATGCCCGGGGACACCAACTTTGTGTGAAGGGATGGCAAAAGGGGCTGGGAGAGACGTGAGACCCCCTAAAAGCTCCTGTTACGTGGAGGTGAGGAGGAGCTGTGGTCTCACCAGCTCCTGGCATGGCACAGACGCCCTCCTGCCCGCACCCACCTTCACCAGCAGCTCGTATCGTGGGATCCTCTGCACCGGCTTGATCATCAGGTCGGACAGAGCCTGCTTCTCCTTGTTCTCCCGCATGCTTTGCTGCAAAACACCGAGGGGAGACAAGGATGGGCCCGTTAGGTGGGACACAGCAGGTGCCACCAGCCCAGAACCTGCAGCAATGCTCGTTTTTGGGAGAAACGACTCCTTTTTACACCACCCGGAGTGACTCCGGTTCATCCCAACCTGGTCTCTTCGCAACAAAACCAAGAAGAAGGTGCGGGGAAAAATCCCAGTCGGACCATAGGTGACCAACTTACTCCCACGAACCCTCATCCAGCCCCACCAGCAGCCTTGCAGGTGGCTCTGGACCTTGGCCAACATCTTAATGGGGAGAAGAACCAGGACCCACCTCCAGGAACTTCATGAACGCCGGCCGAGCTTCCTTGGCCATCCTGACGGCATCCTTGGCGTTGAGGAAGTTATCGATGTAGGCGGAGTAGATGTTCACCAGCACGTCCTTGGAGAACTGGGAGGGGAAAAAAAGCGGATAGGTCCAGCACGGATACGTTGGGCAAGTCTGGAAGAAGCTGCCCCAAGGGTTAATCGTGGCTCTGGGCTGGCGCGGGCAGGACTCGCCCACGCGCCCCCCTCGATTTTTCAGCCCTGACATTTCTGCTCCGGAGAACGGAGCTGCAGACCCGGCCGGTCGCCCCAGCGCCCCGCCGTTACGCTAAGCAGACGGCGGGCCTGGAGATCGTCTCCTGTTCTCCGTCCCAGGCGTGTTTGGACCATCCTTTAATCACTCCCCTGCCTCCTGCTCCGAAACTTCTCCTGCTGGAGCCGTGCCCAAGCGCGGGCACGCCTGGGTTCCCCGGAGAGGCTGGTGGTGGGGGGGAACCCACCCCGCGAGGACCTACCGACTGCACGAGGAGGTCGCCCACTTTCTGCTTCTCGTGCCAGTTCTGCACGCAGTCGTGGATCTGCTCCAGGAACTGCTCGTGGTGCTCCAGCAGCTCGGGGATCTGGTCGAAGATCTCATCCACCAGCGACGGGTCACACAACAGCGAGTTCTCCGGCTGCTTCAGCGGCTTCATGTAACCCTGCGGGGAACCGAAGGCATCAAGGTCCCCATGGATTTCTTCTCCCACCCCCTCAATATAAATTTTTCAACCTCTGTAAATACGGGGACCGGTGGCATCCTGCAGCAGGGGGTTCCCCCAGTGAACGTTGGGTCACGGCCTCGAGAGGCTCCAAACCTTTGCTGTCATGAGCCTTCATCCCTCCATCTGCTCCAGAGCCTGACCCAGCTGGAGAATCACATCACCATGACCCTGGGATCCAAAAGCCGGGGAGTTCCCAGTTGGATTCAAGGTGTTTGGGACCAGGAGGAGCTGGAGTGAGCAGGGTGGAGGCACCGGGTCAAGCCCTGGGCCACCAAGCAACGGCCAACGAGCAATGCTGAGGGTCAGGAGGCAAAGTGGGACAAGAGCAGGTCCTCTGCACGGCCAGGTGAGCAGCTCTGTTACAAAACCGCTTTCCCCCCGCCGTGGGGCAGAGCTGCGGAGGGGAGCGGTGCCCCCAGGAAAAGGAGAGCTGGATTTGTAAGGGATGATGGATGATGAAGGTCTTCTCAGGCCTTGCCTCCTCCTCAGCCCGACCAGTACAGGATGCTGGTGTCCTTCAGGACGTCAGGAGGACCATGGAGTTGAGCAGTGAGGATAGGACCCATCTCAAGTTGCTTCAGACATCTCCATCCAAGCTGGCGAGGGAAGAGACATCCCCGAAGGACGAGATTCCCCAGGATGATGGTGGGTATCTTGTGAAGACTCAAGTTGGAAGGGCCAAATCCTTCCTGAGGCTCATAACTTGCCCTACTGTGGCCAACACCTCCAGTGGGTGCTGGGCTGGGCTGTGCCATGTATCCCACCCACTATGAAAGTGGGGAAGTGAGGACCAGATGGTGAAGAAGAGTACAGAGACCGCCCCTGCCTTGGCACATGAGGAGCTTGTTTGTGCACCATCTGGCCTGGCTGGAAGATGATGCTCCAAGGTGGTCCCTATCCTTCGTAGCCACTATATTACGTGCTACTGGGCTACGTCATGGATCCAAGCGCCTTGTCCCAGCGAAGCGAGGGAGCTGGAGATGTCCGGAGCCTGTGATTCCCCTCCAGAAAGCCAGGTTCCCCTGGATGCACCATGCCAGGACATGTCGCATGGGCAAGAGCTCACGCATTAATGCTCTGGGACTCCCACCCGTGTCCAACCAGTCCTTCCAGTGGGGAACCGGTGAGCCCCAGCATGGCTGTCCTCTCTCCAACCAGCCTCCTGGCCTACCTCAGAGGAGGACACAGCCCTGAGGACAGCCTCTGTCCATGCCAAGACCAGCAGGGTCGCCACCCAACCCCAAACCCTGTACAGCTTCCTCCAAAATAAGCCCCAGACCCAGGGTCCTCTCACCCCTCCAAGCCAACATCTGCACTAGAAGCAGCCTCGAAAGGTCCATCCCTTCTGCAGCAACATCTGGCAGAGCACATCTGGATCCACCACGAAGGCAACCTCATAGGGAAAGCTGGGTGTTGGGATGATGGGTTCCCTGTGCCCTCATGGACATGCCCAGTAGATGTCCTACGGGCACTGCTCTGTATGGAGCAGAGCAGAGCTCTGAATTGTTGGTGGGTCCACCTGCAGCGATGTGGTTGGACAAACCACACCTCCGCCAGAGTGACCTAGTGTCTCCAGGGCGTTGACCAACCATTAACTTTCTGAAACACCTTCATTAACATCTGAAACGTGGGGTGGACCCTCCGGCCAAGCTTCTCCAGGGGGGTTGTAACCAGCTCAGTAAAAAAAAGGAGGAGAGAAAAACCCTTGGCCCATGACTGCAGGTGATGACGCTGAGCAGAAAACAGGGGGACATGGGAAAGGGGGGTGTCAAGGATCCTCCATCATGGGATGGCCATCAGCAACGCACCAGGAGACGGGGTGCAACACGAGGAAGAGCTTTTGAGGGGCAAGCACAAGGAAGGGACTTGAGGACACGATACCCACCAGGTGACAACCCACCAGGAACATGACGGGCTTGGTTTGGGGGACAGAAGTGACCCCCAAACCCCGTTCTTGACACTATCATCACGCCGTTCCCACCTCCGGTCCTGCTTTCCCCAACATCCCCGCTGCCACCCGTCCCCCAACCCATCCCTGTGCCACACAGAGCACCCACAGCCGTGGGTC